CTCTTCTCTCCCATTTATTCCCAGAGAGAGGAGGAGATCATTTACATCCCCTGCTCCAGCTCACCCGGGTTTGCCTTTCTGGAGAGGAAAGCAGAAGCTCTGAACTCAGCAGCATTAGGCCTCGTTCCTGGAAGAAAGTGGGCTCATCTGCGCCGTCAAAGGGGCCTCACATCTCGGGTCTTGGCTTCCTTGCCCCAGCTCTGAGCTACCGTGAACCTGCCCAGCGTCAGCAGTGCTCACGTGGGCTCTGAACTTTCCTCAGCCAGGCTGTCTGTTGGGTGAACTTTGCTCTCCGGGCTGTGAGATGACAACTCGTGTGGCGGTGTTTGGTGTTCAGCATCTGAGAGCATTTCAGACCAAGTACTGTTGGCAGGAGCAGGAGCATCCTCTGGGATGCACTGCCGAAGCTCTCCCAAGCCCGTGCTCCTTCAGAGGTGGATGAAGCGCACTGCCATTGCCCAGTGGAATGGGACAATCCGGCAGGGATCTCGGTGGGGTGGCCCGAGGGATGGCCAGCCTACGTGACATCTGATGGAATGGCAGCCAGACCGTCCCTCTGTCCGCCCTCGGCTTCCTCAGCCAAACCCTTTCACCTTTGAGCTGCTTTTAAGACCTCAAGCCTCGGCTGGAATCTCTGGGTGCAGAGGAGGGTGGTCTAGCCCAGCGTCCCCACGCTTAGGAGCACCCAAACCAGCGGTCACCCGGGCTCAGCTGCATGACAGCAGGTTCAGCTGCAGTAACCGTGGTCCTCGTACATGGGGTGGGAGACCTCTGGAAGAGTCCCACTTGTCAGACCCTGTAACTCCCACCTTCCCCAGCCCCTGCAGAGTGCAGGTTTTGAAGCATGCGCCCATCTCTACGTTTCCCGGGGTACCATAAGCTCTGAGCAGGCTCCTGCACGTCACCAGTGGTGCCACCACGTCTCATCCCACCGACAGGGACCACCTGGACCAGGAGGCAGACCCAAGCCCTACTCATGGGGCATCAAGGGACCGGTGACAAGCACGGCAGCATCGACCACGTCCCTGCGGCTTGGAGAGGCTCCAAGGAGAGCGGTGAGGAAGGTGCAGGCAGCAGGGCCTGGCAGCTGCCTGACTCAGCGCCTGGCTCTGCTGAGCAGGAGGAGGGTGGCAGATGACTCAGGAGATGCCGTTTGCAGGGGGGGCGGCAGGCGGAAAGCGGTGAGAAGGCAAAGCCAGGCAGGAGCTGCAAGCCCGGGTGAGACGCAGCTGGAAAGACGCGAAGATGAGACATTATTTGTAGTGGGGGAAGTTCTGCCATCCTCCACCCCACGGGACTTCAGCCCTCCCTTCCCTTTGCCCTCGCTGCAAAGCCCTTCGGCGGGGAAAACGTCACAGGTAAGGACAGGCCGCCTTGACTTCTGCAAGGTGACAGCGGCCGGAGACCTCTCCAGTCTGCAGAGGGGCAGCCCCGATCCCCCAAATCAGCCGTCCCTGTGAGCTGGCTGCCTCGGACGCGTTGGGAGATCAGTTTTCCTGCCTGAGCCCAGGGCTCTTCGTGCTCAGACCCCCAGGTCTCTGGTCCTGGAGGGGCTCTGATGGCTGTGTGCCACCAGGCTTCCCCCTCTCCTGCCAGGATCTGTGAACCCCAGCACCATCCCCGACCTCGATACAGGGAGCTCTGGAGCCAGGTGGACCTGACGCATCCCAACCCATCTGCCCCTGTTCTGTAGCCACCCTGGCAGGGTCTCCCCATTTTCCTGCTGGAGCATCCCCAGGGCTGGGATGCTCCTCCCTCGGAGCTGGATTTCTCAAGGCAGCAAATGCACAGAGCTCAAAGGGCTTCAAAGCACTGCAAAACCACCAGGTACTGACCCCTCCTGCACTTCCCAGGGGACGGAGTCCCTGGGAAATACCAGAAACCTCTGCCCACCACCGCTAGACTTTACAGAATCACAGAATCCCAGCATGGCAGGGGTTGGAAGGGACCTCTGGGAATCACCCAGTCCAACCCCCTGCCGAAGCAGGGTCACCCAGAGCAGGCTGCACAGGACCGCATCCAGGCGGATCTTGAATATCTCCAGAGAAGGAGACTCCACAGCCTCCCTGGGCAGCCTGGCCCAGTGCTCTGTCACCGTTCAGCAAGTGCCATCATCTCCCTCTTTCCATGGTCCTTCTGCCCATGACATCAGCCTGACCCCATGGCTCATCCACCCAAGCTCCTTCGATGCCACATGGAGGACAAGTCTCAACCCAAAGCGCCGCGGCATCTCCCCAGCTTTGTCCTGCACATTAGCTCATTGTTTTCCTCTTAAAGCTGGGCTGAAGCCAGCTTGGAGAACCACAGCTATCTCAGGCCAAACTTGACCCTTGTGTACGTCAGCGCCAGACCCATGGCTTTGGCTGCTTTGCCCCAGGGCTGAGTTTGGCTCCTCCGGTTCCTGCGTGTTGCCACATGTCGTCACAGAGGGCTCTGGGAATAATGATCGTGGGATGCCTGAGACCATGGGCTCATGGTTGGAAAGCTGCTCAACCCATTTTTCTCCCTGGTGGTTTTTCCCCACAGCCCTGAAGGAACCCTGGGATTAATGATGCTGCCATACGGATCATGGGAAGGGTCGCGTTGCTCCCAGGGGCTGTCGGACCAGGCTAACAGCATCTTCAGCAAAATCTGATTCCCCACATATTGATTACACTGCATGAACGTGGAAAGACCCCAACGCCTGACCCCGATGCCTTTGCTTGGGCAGAGCTGCCCACAGGACATGGAGGACTTTAGGATCTACCCTCAGCACCGGAGCCAGGGGCAAATCCTACCCGATCCCCGCGGAGCACCTCACCTTCTGAGCCTGGCAGATCATCTTCCGCACCACCTCCTTGATGTGGGCTTGCCCCTCGATGGGTGGCTGCATGTAGACGGTGGCACGGGTGACGCCACGGTAGGCGATGGTCTCGGGCCAGCCGAGGTCCAGCTGGGGGATGGAGCGGTCGGATCTCTGGGGCCAGTACTCCAGCGAGGGGGCCACGTCCTGATCCTCCCCTTGGCTGTTTCCATCGCCTTCGCTCTCCCCCGTGCTGCTGCCGTGGCGCGGGATGTACTCTGAGCCGGGGTCATACGTCTCCAATGAGTCCAGGATCTTCTTTAGCTCCAGCTCGGAGAGGAAGTCCCTGATGTTCTCCTTCTTCAGGACCTCATAGAAGGCGTCGGGGCCGCGGGAGGCCAGTGCCTCCAGGGCCAGGCGTTGCTCCTCGCTGTAGAAGAACTCGGGCTTGGACTCGCTGGACCTCCAGTTGACGTGGCTGTCATCCAGGCACTGCACCTGGGAGAAAGCCATGGTGACCACGCACGCCGGTACCCCCTCCGACGGGAGCTCTGTACCCCCAGAGAGTGCCGGATGTCGACAATAAATAAGGAATTAATTATTCCCCAGTCTTTAAATACACAATTTGCCCAGCTTTGCCCTCGCTGGCTCAATGCGCAGCTGGGGAAATGCGCCGGTCCCTTCTCCGCTGGCTCCTGCCAGGCCGGAGCTCTTCTCCGCGGTGGAGGAGGATTCAGTTTCTTGCTTAATCCCGGCTCTGCGCAGAGAGACTGCTCCGGGCAAGGAAATCCTGGAGCTTCCCACGTCCGGGGCTGTGCGATGAGCCAGACGGCCCTGGGCTCACTCGCACCGCCGGGAACGTCCTCTACCTCCGGGTCCACGCTCTTCTCATCCTCTGCTCTTTCAAGACAATGATAATACCGGATAAAATGAGAACTGGAAAACGAACGAACAAAAAAATGGTGTAAGGAAGGGCAGAGAAAAGCAAGATTTCTTGGCCCAAGCGCCGTCCGTGGTTATCGTTCCTGGAGAACTGGGTCAGCTGGCGGGTTTTGTGGCAGCGAACGTCTCCGTCGGCCTCTCGTGCATCGCCCTGGCTGATTTCGGGCTCCTGCCAGCGTGCAGCGCCGGGGCCGGACAGGTAACAGCAAGAAGGGAAAAGAGGAAAAGCAAAAGGTGATTCATCGCTCCGCCCTGCCCCACCTGCAGTCACATGCTGCTTCACATATTCTGGCCCTGCCCGCACGTTAACTCTTTCGGCTGATGCCGTCCTCACACCTCTGCCCGCCCCGAGGGTCCCTGGGGACCGTGTGGGTGTGGGAGGTGGGTGGGCAGCTGGGGAGGGGTTTGGGTGTTTGTCTCAAAAAAAGAAAAAGCGTCTCTCCCCCGAAAGCTCCCCTTTTCCCACTGTGCCAGCTGGTAAATCAATATTTTCTAGGGAAGTGGCTCTGCCTCGTGGTTAACCCCTCCTGCGCCAAGCGCAAGCACCTCCGTGCTAGCACGGGACCTCGGAGCGCTGGTGGGTCCCGGGGGATGGCACCGGGTCAGAGCTGCTGTAATGGCTCAAAGCTGCACTGGGGGGGTTCAGACTAGACGTTAGGAAGTGTTTCTTTACTGAGAGGGTGGTCAGACCCTGGAACAGGGTTCCTAGAGAGGTGGTCGGTGGCCCAAGCCCGTCGGTGGTTAAGAGGCATTTGGACGATGCCCTTAACAAGGTGCTTTGACTTTTGGTCAGCTCTGAAGTGGTCAGGCAGTGGGACTGGATGATCATTGTAGGGCCCTTACAACTGAAATTCTTTTCTTTCCCTTCCCCTTCTCTTCCCCTTCTCT